ACCCTTGGTTCATTGGCATTGAACCACACTTTCTATGTCCAGGAATCCAGGCTCGATGTCTCTGTTTGCTATCTACGCGTCTCAGATCGGGCTCTGTTGTTAGTGAGCCATCACCATCATTGAGGAGCACTGCTCCAGTGCTGGATCCTAATGATCGACCGGGTCCTGCACGCTCGTCTATAAAAACAGGCTATAGGGCTTTGAGTGACGTCATCCCGGTGAACTGAAAAGTTTTCAAAAAAGGCAGCGTCTGATGTGGCAGCCAAGGCCCACCAGATACCACTTTGGCGAGTCGTTCGGAAGGGGAAGCCATCAAGATGAACCATCCGGAATAAGTCTTCCTACCAGTAGCTGACTGACCAATTGAATGCGGACCAAGCCTGATAAAGCGGTCAATTGACTTTCGACTGGGGTCACGTAATTCTTGAACCATCTGCACCGATTCCCCCTCGATGGGAGCATCGAAAAGGGCCTGGCAGACGAGGACGGGATACGCGATCCAAACCACCGTTAACATAACGTTTTGTCGATCACTTGGAACGGTTCATTCCTTGATGGAACCCTGAAGGGTCCTCCTGCTTATCTAATTCAGGTAATTCGACCCCGCTTTTCACCTGACAGCGCGATAAGTGTTGGCGCGAGGGGCCAAAAACGCGACGGCGAATCACCCCCTCCCCGCCATCTTGACACGACTCTACTGCGTCCCTGTCCTGCACGATCCCGCTGTCAGCACAAGCAACCTGTGGGCCAATTACTTCTCTACCTTGGGGCAGATCAAACCCTTGCTTTCTCATACCGCAGCGCACCAACAAGAACGTAGCATCCGCCAACAAAGCCAATCCTCTCAAGATGGCCGAAAGTACCTCTACCCCGCGCATCACCGCGCAGTACCTTGACAACTACGTCGGCAAGAACGTAATGCTCGTCGGCAAGGTCGTGCAGCTGCGCGGCGACTCGGCGGTCCTTGATGCCGACGGCAACGTCACCGCCATTCTGAACCGCGTTTGTCCACACCGTCTCCTGTAACTTGAGCATCGAGATATTAACGCGCTTTACTCAGGACGTCCACCTCACCAATGGCAATGGTGCTCAGATCGTCGGCAAGGTCAACCCCGACCTGTCCATCAAAGTTCTCTCCTCCAGAGATCTGGGATCTGGCGTGGGTACGTCGGCCTCGTTTCCTAACCTTTGGCTCCATGTCTCGTAGTCTCCTGCGGCAATACGCAGGCATTCTCGTTGAGCTTCTGCTCATCCGAGAAGCTTTTTGCTTTATGCCGCCCAGCCCCCATTCACTCAACGCTAACATCATCTGCAGACTACTCACTTGCCTCCGCCGTGGTAGAGGCAACTCACCAACACAAGCCCCTTTTCGTCTTCGACAATTGACCGCCCCAGCCGTCCGGACGCGTGTACGGGAGCAAACAGGTCACTATCCCGGCGACGCCCCGTAAATCCGCACCCGCATCCGCACCCGTGACCCGGCCGGCGACGGCGACGGCATCCGCCACGCAGCAGCAGCAGCAGCAGAAGCTACCGCAGAGAGAGTTACGATATCATGAACCGCCACCCACCCCCGAACTTCCTTCGTCTGATTTCACACAAAAGCATCACCAGCATTCTACCCCGCAAACGCCCTACTCACAAGCACAGAGACGCTATACCGAAACGCCTCCAAGATCATCCCAGCGTCAACGTCAACATCACCAGCAAGAAAGCAGTGATGCGGGAACATCAACCACTCGACCACCGTCCCGCCCATCAGATTTACTACCAACTCCACCATCCCCTGAACCGTCTAAATCTACCACCAGGTCGAAGGACACGACTTCGGGACGTAGCCACAGGGACGGAAGGGAACGCAGGCACCGCAGGCATAAATCACGCCCAAAGGAATCCGAAGTCGGTGTGAATGAGGTTGTCGACGACTCGGAGCTTTTGGGGGCCATCCTGGACGGCATCGGCCGAATGACCGTCGGCACTATCGCCATGCGCATGGACGATGCTGGAAGGTGGAGGATCCGTCGGGACTCGGGGGATGATAGTACTTAGCATCTGCTCTTGACTGTGTCTAGATCACGAACACAAAACGTCTTGATGATAATGAACAACTTTCTAATCTCATATTTGGGGGCCGAATATCCTATTCAAGCCCGCGTTCGTGCCTAACTGACTACTACAAGAAGCTCCTAAACACCAGGTGACCGATATCCTGACACTGCCGGCTATGTTTACCTAATAGCCTTCCTCGTCCGCCATCAATTCGTGAACTGCTTCCACAACCCCGAGGAGGGCTGTGCTAGTCAAACCAACTTTAATCCCTTCATCAACACCGTCCCTTGTATTCCACCACGCAGCGGCTCCGCTATCGCTGCTTCTGGTGCCATCCAAATTCCTGAATGCCATTTTGATTCTCGATGTCACCAACTCCCCATCCTCGGTTCCGGTCGTGTCAGTGCTCTCTCGCTCCCTGGAAGACACATCAGCCGAATCGTATTGCCCATCTCCCCCTTTGAGACACCGAATTTTGCGTGTGAAGCGTTCGAGCACCGCGACCCGTTTCTCGGCAGCTTCTGCTCGCCCCTTCCACATGGCACACTCGCGTATTGCCGAGCGTAACTGTTCGCTGAGCAGGCCAACATCCATTTCGTCTCTCGTCTCCAACTGACGACGAAGCGAGGCAGTCTCCTCCGTCTTGGCGTCTACTTGCCTTTGCAAGCTGCGAATTTGCGCGTACAGCATCGAGTTTCCTCCGGGGCTTTCCGGGCGTGGAGCCATTGTGTATTCCCCAAGTTGGCGCAGTGATGGCGTAGATGGAGGCCGAGGAAAGTTAACATGCTGGGCAACAGGTGGCTGTTCAAGATGTCGGGTCATTGTACCTAAGCTTCGTAGGCCTCTATCATCGTTCAGATGCGGGCCTTTCGCGGCAGACTTGTGGTAATTTTGGAGGTCGGGGGTTTGTCGAAGCTGGCAGGAAATGGGGGTTTCTGGGTGAGCAGGCGCGTGTTCAGGCCGGCGGCCAACTTGGCGGACAGTTCTGGGTCGACTGCTCAAGTTGAAGCTCTGATGGTTTTGCTCCTCTTTTGTCTTGCCAAGGCTCCAAGATGATCCCATGGATGCCAAAGACTTAGGAGACGGTTTCTCAAGTCTAGAACGATCGAGATTTGGCGCAGTCTCGCTCGCTCGAGGCCCCGTCATCGGCGAAGGTGCATAAGACGAATCCATAGAAGCCACTTCAAACATCGCGGCGATGGCCTTCACGCTGTTAGGCTTGGAGGTTGATTTACGCGCAGGTGTAGACACTCTGGATGGTCCTCCGGATGTCCGCGCTGGCGTCACCACCGGTCGCAAAGAAGAGTCTCGGGACCGCTGCGCAACCTCCTCCGCTTTGGACGCCAAGCTTTTCGGTGACGACTTTCTCTTATATGATTCATTTATATATGGTAAGCCAGCATGCGATTCATCTCCCTCCGAAGGTATCCCGACGGAGCCATTCCGGTGGTGAATGTTGATATCCTTGTCTCTTCGCAAAATCGTCTGCAAACCCTCTTTCGCGCAAGAATCATCTGCTGGCAGCTTATCCTATAACGCCATGGCCGAGTTTGCGCCGGTATTTCGAGACCTCTGAGGGACCGTCATTTCAGCGCAGTATTCCTTCGGAGTGATTTGAATGGAGCTGTTGTCATCGAACTCCATGTAAGTCTCGTCGCTATGCCGCGGGGTTCGAGGGTTAGGTCGCTCGCGTTCGATATCCGACTTTCTAGGCCGACGGACGTCGCTGTCTGATAAACATTTCCACCCTGCCACTTTCTGGAAATCACGCGTTTGGGTCCCTGCGTTCGCAACCACAGCCTTCTGCACTGGGACGTTGGGCTTTGAATTTTCCTGAGCCACGTCGGATCCACACAAGCTCCTTGCTGTTGGAGTTAAAGAATCACTCCCACTCAATCTGATGATGGTTCGAGGACTCATGTCATCAGGTACGATGTGTTTTTTCTTGGGCGTTCTTGGTGTTGAGCTGCCGGACGAACCACCGCTTCGACCAGTTCCAACAAGTCGACGTAAAGCTGTAGAGACTAATCCAGCATCTTTCCCTCCGTTTTCCTCCGAGACTTGCTCCAAGGATCTCTCAGACAGACGGGTCTTTTGCCCATGGCCAGTTTCGCTGGCTTCCTTGACGTTCATGGTATTTAACGGCTCGCTTGACTGGTGGACTGTCGATCTAGACGAAGTTCTCTCCGGAATGAGCACGTCATGTACCCGAGTATTGTTGTTCGGGTGCTTGCCGTGGCGTCCAACTCTCGTCGGTGTTTGTACATCGGGAGTACTGCCAGATGTAGGATGAGAGATTTCGCAGCGATTCCCCTCTGGAGGACCGCCCGTGATCGACGATGTAGAGGCCGCTGCCTGACTTGCTTCCTCTGAGGCTCGCTCCGCCTTTGTACCTCTGGTCCTCATGGAACTGGTCTTGGAAAATCCTATCTTAACATTGCTTTGCTTGCTCCCAATTCTCTTGACACCATGGTTATTCGCCGCGGATTCTTCTGCAGTGGGCGACAACGAGTGGAGTGATTGTTGAGGCGGAAGTCGGTTCGGGGATGGAGAAAGAGACACTTGGGGTCGGACCTTTTGGACGTCAAGTTTGTGCGTCGGACCGTCGGGTATCGCCGAACGTGCCGGTGTCCCTATTCGTGTTATCTCGTTAGTCCAAATTTCACCCAGAGAGCAGGCTAGCCTACTGCAAGTTGGTGTGGGAGAGTCTGGAGTTGGAGATCCATCCCGATCAATCGTGGCTCCCGGCGTGGCCGACTTGCTTTTCCATCCTCTGGGCAGTCCAATTGTAAACGGGTCGGAGCTGGAAGACCAATGGGATTTGTGACGGGCCTTTTTGTCCACTCCTTGATCAATCCTAATAAGTATTCTTAGATCCCTCATGTTCTTGACGACCTCCCTCCAATTGGTGATGAGCATCTCCGCAATTTCGTTCGCGACATGGACCTTGTTTATCGCTGGAAGTGGTGGTTCGTCTTGTGCTTTCGCTGTGCGCTGTCGTTCTCTTTTTAACTGCGGCGGCGTGAGGGGGAAAAGTAGAAGACCAGCAGACGGGGTTGCCAATTTCATGGTATAAGAATCTAGAAGATCACCAACAAGCAGGGGTCCAAAGACGATGCCTAATGCGGTATATCCCATGAGATCAGACGTGGGAAGAGGATGACCCCGCTCGTCTTCGCGGGCTGCCGTCTCCCCAGCACGGCCGATGACAGAGAGAAGACCAAATACGGCGCATATCAGTTCTCGCTGGAATTGTGATTTGACGGTACCGATTGCTAGTGCGATGAGGCGGGCTCGAAGCTTCGTCTCTTTCGTTCTGCTTAGCTCGGGCTCACCCCGAAGCTGGCATTGTATGGCCACCAGTGCATCGAAAAGCGAAAGTGTACCCAGGATACCGCCAGGGAGAACGGAGAGGAACTTCTTGAAGGCTGACGCTATGTCGTGTATTCCGACGTTGATATGGGTCGGGAGAGACGCGCAGCGAATCGTATTGGTAACTTCTTCACCAGCCTTCTCGTCACAGTAGTAGTCGAAGATTGCATTGATTCCACGGATTGACCCTGGAATACGAAAGATTCCGCGGGTTTCCGGTCCTGTTCACTGTAAGGTTATGATCATGTGCAGGAGGCAGGAGGAAGAGCATACCATACTGGACCAGATATTGAGCCGTGGCCCTGAAGCAAGTCGGCAACATGAGAGAGCTAGGGGCATACGGCTCTGGCAAGTAGAGGAAGTTCTTGCCGCTGAGCCTAACCATCGTCTGAAGATCAACGATTCTGCGTTCCGGTCTTCTATGCGCAACCATATTTAGAGCAAGGTCACTGATACTTCGCTTGTGCTTGATCGACCTGGATGGTCGTCGAGAAATGGACGGCTGTCCAGATGAAGGTGAACGAAACATTCGCGACCACCACCTCCGCTTTTCTGACATGGCCGCAGGTGTCGTTGGTCGCTGGAGAAATTAGCCTCTTGTTGTCACACTTGGGAATATTCACTTACTCCTTCAAAATCCCCGACAACAAGAATTCGGATTCCATGCTGTCATATCGCATTAGCGATAATCGACCATCGGATGGGGATGAAGGCACTGCGCTAAAGCAGACAGGTTTTTTGTTACCTTTTTGGCCAGACGATTGTACTCTTGAACAAAAAACTCCCGGCTCTCGACCACATCGGTGTCTGGGAACAAGGCTAGGTCCGCGGCAGAGGAAGTCCACGTTGCGCTGCTTGGCAGAGCCCGGTTGCGACGGTTGTCCCTGTTGGCAAGTGCGGGAAGTGTGGTCGAGTTGGGTACGCGCTGTCGATCGGGGCCATCATGTATTGAGAAAGACATCACTGGCAGTTGAGGAGGTAATGTGCTCGTAGGTGCTGTGCTAGGCTTCTGGCTCGCAGGGGTCGCAGTCTCTGCATCGCGAGACGCGGCCGAGGATATCGATGGGTCGGGGCGATAATGCTGCATCGCAAAGGAGTTGCGCAAATGAGATGGAGACTGAGCAGGTGAATTGGATGCAGCCAGCTCGGCTCGGGATACAAGTTATGTTATGCCCAACCGCTGCAAGCTTGCGAGTGAGGTCGGAGTGGCTGATCAAGTTTGATGGGGAGGCGTTTTGTGCCTGGATTCAGGCTGTCCAAAACAATAAAATGGCTGAAAGAAAGTTATCATCAGTCTGCTCTTGCCTCCTATCCCGAGAAACGCGACAGCCTCAACTGGATCGCACCTTCCCGGCCCAGCCTACCTGGATAGCAAGATGATATTGCGAGCCAGCCACTGGTGACATTGCCTGCGCCGTTGGCCACAAGATGCACCTTCCCGCGCAAACGACAAACCTTACGTAGGGTGCAAGTCGGAGCCCGGGTGGCATGAGGCCAGAAACAGAAAGGTACGCTGAGGAGTTGGTATCGACATGTTCTCATTTCGTGATGCATCCAGGTAGCCGACTGCTCCATATAGACCTTCCAACCCTCTATAATGAAGTGAAAGAAAATGTTAAATATGCGCACCATCTGGTATTCCTCCCAGTTACGCCCCCATACGCCTGGCACATGCTCATTACCATGTCTACCGTGTCCCATGTCATTCCAGCGAGGATCCGTCGCTCTTTGGTTCTATGTAAATTCCATTCTTTCTTTTCCAACTTCATGTTCATTTGGTGTCGTCCTCCTCCCCGTACAGAAGAACGTACTTGAGGATGTCGGACAGGGAAATCACGCCCACGAGCCGGTTTTCATCATCCACTACGATCAGACGATGCACTCGTGACTTGCGGACAGTGTCGAAGATGGAGTCTAGTCTGTCGTCAGGGCTGCATGTGTAGATTCCCGGGGAGTCATCGGGTCTCCTGCACAAGGCCTCGCCAACACTGGACGACAGCTCCTCATACGCGCCACCCTTGATGCATGGAATGATGTCGACAGCCTCGAAAACATTGAGCAGCCGATTGTGCTTGTCGACTATAGGGACACATGAGATGTTATACTTGACCATCGAGTCTACAACGTCCAGGACGGAATCGCCCATCTTGGCCGTTGCCAGCTTCTTGTATGTGCCCAGACCGATCTCCCTCAGCGACTTCTTCAGCAGCACCGTGTTATGCTCGTTGTTGACGGCGATAAACTTGAGGATTCTATACTGCGTAATGACGCTGACAACCATCTCGCGGCCGGTTTCGTCGTCGACGTCCACGAGAGGAATTCGTCGTGCGCGGGTCTTGAGCATCCGACGGCAGGCCTCGTAGAGTGGTCTCATGGGGTTGACAGAGACTGTTTCGAGCGGAGATACGCCGATAGCCTTCTCGATATCTACAAAAAGCCGTTGGTTAGTGGTCCCCAGCAAGCGAGCTTGTCCTCATCACGAACCTCGCAAGCTACTCAGGCGAAACTGTTCCAGCTTGCTCATCTCATCAGGAAATTGACAGTAGTACTGAATGACGTTGATGTAGTCGGTAGCTGTCAGAAGACCAGCGAAGGTCGAGTTGTGCGAATCCCATAACGGCGCGGAAACGATTGCTACGGCGAAGGTCAGAATGGACAGCTCGGCGCATTCAGGCGGCATGACTCGTACCATTTTGAATGAGGATGTTGAGACTCTTCTTGATCAAGAGGTCATTGTCGAGGACGATGAGACGGAAGGATAGCGGCAGGACATCGTAGCTGGTCCGAACTTTGAGGAACTCGCGGATCGCTTTCTGGGCAGACAAGCATAATTAGCCACGGGTCGTTGCGGTCTGAACGTGCCTCTCGCGATGGCGGCGGGCGGATGGCAAAGCGCAACCCCGCATGCGCAGAGGCAGCAGGTCAGGGCAAATTCGGGTCGCAGGGCAGCATTCGGCATGGTGCTCGAGGGGAAAACGGGCGGCGGAAGGGTGTTATCAGCTTACCAGACCCTGCATTTGGTCCTTATCGAGAGGGCTCGGGGGCTTTTCAGGCATTTTGCGAAGCACAGAGGGCGGTCTTGGGCGTAGGTAGGATGAGGGCGTGACGAAGGGAAGCTCGTGACTTTGTGGTCTCGCGATGGACGCAGCAGTAGCGACTACGGGCGGTTGTAGTGGACCAGTACCGCTAGGCTGTTGCTGATGCGACATGGACATGGAGCCAGGGCCGGCATTGTCCTTCGACGCGGAGGACGCGGAGGAGGGGTCGTCCATTGTGTCGTCGTGCCGTACGAGGAGGGCTGGCTAATGGCGCGCGTGGCCCCTCTGGACGTGGACGGGACGGGGTACGGGGGAACTGGTGTGGGAGGAGAGAGCGGGAGACAGGAAACGGGAGACGGACGGCAGAGGCGGGAGTTCAGAGACAAGGACGGAATTTTGCGGTCGAAGAATCGGACGGGTTGGGCTGGAACTAGAACTGACGCATTGGTGATTTTTGTTCCCTTGTCGTTCTTTTTTCCTTCCAGGTTCCTTCTCTGTTCCCCTCCAGCGGTGGCAGATAGTAGAGGTGACTAGCAGTGACAGCGGCGGCGGGCGTGGCAGGTGGCAGCAATGGACACTCAGTGACAGCAGCAGCAAGTACCTTTCCACAGCCCTGGCGGCAGACGAACTGACGACTGCATCCCTCCTGTCTCACCTCGCCTGTGGCAGCCATAGATAAGGATAAGGATAAGAGCAAGGACTGGATCTACGAATACCTGGAGAGCCTACGTGCCTACCTGGAGAACAGCCCGGACGAGCACCGATGCCTAAGACAAGGGTGGCGTCGACCGTCTGATTCTGGGGTTACTGGCTTCTGACGTAGGTTGGCGCTGCCGCTGCCGCTCCGGCGACGATGACCAGTCCAGTGGAAGTCAACGAAGTGATGCTTATAATTAGCGCTTGGCACTGCAGCTTGACGGGTGCAGCGGCTTCAGTTCCGAAGGACAAGAGAGGATGATGACGGTTGTAACGGGAGCCGTCGCCATTGGAGATGGCTTCAATGATCCGCCGGCTGCTATGGGCGGAGAAGATTACACGCGCGAATGAAGTACACACACGACTTGAGCCACATGCAGACAGACAGCGGCCATCAACAGCTACCTCCAGCGGTAGTAGCTGCTCCTTCCGGCATCTCTTTCCTAGGTCGTTGAATGAACTGTGCAGCGCCCGACGAGTAGCGGCTGGAGCACAATCTCACTGGGACGAGATCACTGCTGCATCTTGCCGTGCGGTGGCCAGATTCCGCGCCGTTGCCATCCGACAGTCTTTCTTTCTCTTCCCCCGAGCAAGATTGTCTCTCCCGGATTGATATCTTGCCAGGGATAGCTGCAATGCGAGACATGCCGACAAAAAATTCCCCTCATGAGTGCCATGCGACACTCGATTGTTGTGGAAAGGCATCACCTTGCGATTTCTCATTACCCAATAGACTCTATGCTGTCTGTTACGGAAACCCATCCATGCCTCATTCAGCCAGCGTCTCCGCGGGTAGGCTCGCGTGATATTGGACCCTGGAGGCTCCTGTGCATTCAGGGTAGCAGCACACGGGCAAGTCATCGGGTCATTTGAGGGGCAACATCGCGGGTAGAAGAGGGTGTGCTCTTGTTGTAATGTTCGTCTGAAGCTTCTCTTGCCTGGCAATCGTGCAGGCGCCATGGAGGAATCAGCGTACCAAAGCTTCTCATGAAGCACGTACTCAAGATAAGGTCTTCGCTGTCATGTGCCGATGGGTACATTCCGGCTGTCGCAAAAGGGAAGGAAAGCAGACGTCGCTTGTTGATAGGTTTCTAGAAATTGATGGCAGCTCTCGAGGACACAGTAGAAGCCAGAAGGTAGGCTCTCCCACATTCTCCAGAACGAGTTTGCATTGCTCGCGATATGATGTCTTGCTGGATGACATAAGTCGACTCCGCGGAGGATGAGCTTCACAAACACAGCTTGTTTCCGCATTTGAATAAAGAAGGTGGTCCGTGTGTCTCAAGCTCGAGATGTGGAGGACGGTGAGGAACGGTGAGGAAGCTGCGGCAGTGCCGCCCGAGGCAGGAGGAGACCCGACATGGAGAGAGGAGGAACAGGCGGCGCGGAGCGGTTGCAACTTGCGGTCCTGGAATCTGGGCAGAGTGAGGCGGATGCGCCTCTCCAGCATCCTCTTCTAACCGGGGAGAGGAAGCCGCCCGCCAGTCACATCACGAGTAAAACTTGGCAACGCTGCAGGTACGCTCAGTACGTACCTGCTGCACTGGGTCACCTAGACCCCCTAATCCTGATGGGGTTAGCACGACCAACTGTGGAAAGTCGGCAGCTCCACAGAGAGTTCCACAGTGTCACGGTCCTATCACAACCTGGAGGCTGCTTTTCCAGAGTGCCAGTCCCGTTGCTGGTGCTGGACCTGGTGGTGCTCGTTTTTTTCATCCTGTGGTGTTGTGCCTGTGCCTGCTCTTGCTCGTTGCTTGGTGACTCGGGAAGCTACCCAAGTTAGGTGCTTGTACCTTGTCACTACTAGCCCCACCACGTTAGCCTCACCAAGGTGCCAAGGTCCTGCGCTACTGCTGTTGCTACCTCTCTGCTGCTGCTGCTGCTGCTGCTGTTGCTGCGGCTTGGGCCTGTGCTCCGAGAGACAACTGGAGCAGCCTCCCGACGGCACTTTCTTCCCAGAACCTCACTTAACCGATCACATCGTCCATCAACCGACCGACTGTCGGGCCTCTTCCGCTGGGCAGCAACGTACCTCTAATTCGCCGGCTATCGCTCACTATCGAATTTAATCTGTTCGTCACGTTTAATCGACAATACGCTTCTACCATCGACCCGTCGGAAACATCGCAGGCTCCGCATCCCTCTGGTTGGGCTGCTAAAACATTCGTGTTTGCGAAAGAGGATCCATCCAAACAAAACAGCCCCAGCCGCCCCCCGAGACCGCTACTTCGAAGTCTAGTCTTCATATCATCGACATCGGCCTTTGTTGCCCACGTCGGCCATGGGAGTGTGTCAATCGTGTTGCGGAGGTATGATGCGGTTCACTGCCACATGCTGCTGACCAGCCAAGCTGATGATGACTGCACAGGGAGATCCCGCGATGGACTCTACGAGCCAGTCCTCGCCGACAGCGAACGGGAGGCTGTCGCCGACCTCCTCCAGTACCTGGAGAACGTACGCGTTTTTCTTTACCCACCACATAGCTGAACCTTCATACTGACTGTGTTTCAGCGCGGTGAAACCGACTTCTTCTCGGGCGAACCTCTTCGAGCTCTAAGCACTCTCGTCTTCTCAGAAAACATCGATCTTCAACGCAGTGCTAGTCTTACTTTTGCCGAAATCACAGAGCGAGGTATGTCGAACATTTTAACCGCCCGAGAAGAGCTTCAAGCTGGTCCAACGAACCGTGCGGTGTAGCACCTGCGGGCGTCTTCGTCTACGTCACCTGCTAATGCCAGTGCCTGTTCCGCAGATGTTCGCGAAGTCGACCGCGATACCCTCGAGCCCATCCTCTTCCTGTTGCAGAGTCCTGATATCGAAGTTCAGCGCGCCGCCAGCGCAGCCCTGGGAAATCTGGCCGTAAACAGTGAGTCTAGCTTCACGCGCCAGGCTGGATGAGCATTACTGATCTGAATCGCCAGCCGAGAATAAGGTTTTGATTGTCCAGCTCGGCGGACTTACGCCTCTTATCAGGCAGATGTTGTCGCCAAATGTCGAGGTGCAATGCAATGCCGTCGGCTGCATTACCAATTTGGCCACACATGAGGAGAACAAGGCCAAGATTGCGCGGTCCGGCGCGTTGGGTCCTCTGACGAGGCTGGCAAAATCCAGGGACATGCGGGTTCAGAGGAACGCAACTGGAGCTTTGTTGAACATGACACATTCGGGTACGTTATCGCCAATACTATCGACAGGTCATTCTCGCTAACATCAGAAAGATGAGAACCGCCAGCAGCTCGTTAACGCCGGAGCCATCCCCGTCCTGGTTCAACTCCTGTCCTCGTCAGACGTTGATGTGCAGTACTATTGCACAACCGCTCTCAGCAACATTGCAGTCGATGCTAACAACCGACGCAAACTTGCACAAACCGAATCGAAGCTTGTCTCTTCGCTCGTCACTCTCATGGACTCCTCGTCACCCAAAGTTCAATGCCAGGCAGCACTCGCACTTCGTAACCTGGCTTCGGACGAAAAGTACCAGCTGGATATTGTGCGGTCTAATGGTCTGGCTCCGTTGTTGCGGCTCTTGTCGTCGTCTTATCTGCCTCTGATCCTTTCCGCCGTCGCCTGCATACGCAACATTTCCATTCACCCATTAAACGAGTCGCCCATTATCGAAGCTGGCTTCTTGAAACCGTTGGTGGACCTGCTGGGATCGACCGAGAATGAGGAGATTCAGTGCCACGCCATATCGACGCTGAGGAACCTGGCGGCCAGCTCTGATCGCAACAAGGCACTGGTCCTCGATGCTGGTGCGGTTCAGAAGTGCAAGCAGTTGGTGCTGGACGTCCCGGTTACGGTCCAGTCCGAGATGACGGCTGCGATTGCTGTTTTGGCTCTTAGTGATGAGCTGAAGTCGCACCTCTTGAACTTGGGTGTCTTTGAGGTCCTCATTCCCCTCACCCATTCTCCCAGCATTGAGGTGCAGGGCAACAGCGCTGCAGCCCTCGGCAACCTCTCTTCAAAAGGTATGGTTCCTACCACCTCAATTAAGGTTTGAATGCTAATTCATCCGCAGTTGGCGATTATGCTGTGTTCGTTCAAGACTGGAAAGAGCCTAACGGCGGTATCCACGGATACTTGACGAGATTCCTCCAGAGCGGCGACGCGACGTTTCAGCATATAGCAATCTGGACTCTGCTCCAACTGCTCGAGTCGGAGGACAAGAACCTCATCCAGCTGATCGGCCAGGCCCAGGACATTGTCGACCAAATCAAGGAGATCGCCAACCGCCAAATTGAGCCTGACAACGAGTTCGAAGATGACGACGAGGGCGAGGTCGTGAACCTGGCACAGCGTTGCCTGGAGCTGCTTGGCCAGAGTGGCTCAAAGTCTCATATCGAGGGCTAAAGCCCTTTTTCTCTTCAGTATGACGGGTCTCGCTTTCACTATTTCGTTCCTCCGCTTCCCTTCTGGGGTACTACTACGGGATCAAATGGCTCGAGGGCTTGGGTTGTAGGTGTTATGGCGTTGATGATTATGCAGAATGAGTTCCGGTCGGTACCTTGCGTGTATTTGTTTTGGCGTGGAAGCATTTTGAAGGAGCGTTTATTTTGGCGAGCCTATTCCTGACGGACGACCCTTTCCGCCGTCCTTAGTTTCAAGGTACGGCATGTCTCTTTAAGAAGGACGACCTAACCCTTTTACTTTGTATTAAGCATTATGGCCCGTCAGTCGGGTTATCCAATTTCCCACGTTACTCGGCCTGTCGCCGGGCTTGATGAACTTTTCCTTAACGCCACTGGCCTTCCTACCTCGTTGTAATTAGGATCAGACCTTACAAGACCAAAAAACAACTCACTATTCGTGATTAATTCTCATCCATTAGTCGAGCAAGCCCTCGTTGTGCCCCTCGTGAGGATGATCCGGTTGGATTATCGGGTTCAATTCTTGTCATCATGGTCGTCTTCTGGATCCACAAGGCCGTTGCGGAATACCTGACGGGTACTCCAGGGCAAATGTCTGGCAATTACCTTGCCCTTTATTAAAGCCAGTGGTACTGGTCCAAACATCCGTGAGTCTCTCGAGAGCTCCAAGTTGTCGCCTACAATCCAACAGTGACCTTGGGGTACCTGACAGATCGTCAGTGTGAGACTTTCGCCAACTTCATGACACAAGCAGCCATACCTGCATCATTTTCTGGGGATAGGCATCGGGGCTTCCCACGAGGACGTAGTCACCTGGCATGCCGATTACGCGTTTGATGCCTTCCGCACGTTGGAATATGGGAATTCGATAATGCACCAAGTCTCCTACAACAATGTTGCGGCCGTAGCGGTAGCGTTTGTCAACAATGATGTGATCACCGGCGATGTCGAACGTCGGCAGCATTGACGGGCCGGCCGCAGGTCCCCATTCGAAGCAGTAACTTGTGAAGACATGGGCAGCGGCCATGGTCTTTCCGGCAGCGAGAACCAGGCGAATCGGATGGCCAATTATGGCTCTCGCCCATGGAGGCAGCATCGCGTCCGAACGGGGAAGCCGTGTGTTTGTTGATGCTCGTCTCAGGCCTGAGAACAGCTGAGGAGTTGAGTGTCACACCCTACGGTGATGAGGAGACCACGGCGAACCCGCCGGCGCGAGAAGTCGGAGCTCGGACCCCACTGAAAGCTCAGCACCGGGACTTGATTGGTGGGGAAGCTACCTACCCCATGCGTCTTCTACAATTTCATCTCTTCGCCTCCCATCATCTGCGCCAGCTCCCACCTACCAAACGTGCTGAAATCAACAAGCAACAACCCGCCTTGTGAGTCAATCGACGATCCAAAGCTCCAAAACGTTTTCAGGAGACGGGTTGCCAGCATGAGGGTCGCACGATGCTTGTTCAACAGCAGGACAGCCCTATATAGGGTGTTCATCTCGCCCTACGAAAAAGTTGAGGCGCTATCACGATGCAGCGCTCTCTCTGCTCCCGCAGCCAGAGTCCTTCCACCCGTCGCCGCGTCGATACCGAACCTTTCACGCCACGCATCTATGATCCATCGATATAAGAAGCGCGGAACGGGCCGCCCAGACGAAAACAAGAAGCGCCTGATAGAAAACGACAGGATCCGCGACAGGAATATCATGGTTGTAGACGAGGACAATAAGCTGGCTGGCCCGTACGCCACTTCAAAAGTCCTGCTATCCCTGGACCTCGAGAAGGAAACGTTGCGACTGGTTTCCCCGGCCCCCTCGGACCCGGGCCCAGACCAGCCAGCCTACGCCGTTTGCAAGATCATAAACATTCAGGAGGAGAGAGCCAGGGTGCGCAAATTGGAGCAGGCGAAGAAACTTCAGGCAAAGACAAACAAGACCAAAGAGCTGGAACTCAACTGGGCGATTGCGTCGAATGACCTCAACCACAAGATGAGGCAGTTGAGGACGTTCCTAACCAAGGGTTACAAGGTTGAGATCTTGATGGCCAAAAAGAAGGGAAGCAGGATTGCTACAGCAGATGAAGCGCAAGCTCTTGTTCAAGCAGTCAGAGACGTTGTGGAAGAGACCCGCGGCGCCAAGGAATGGAAGGCCTCAGAGGGCCAGCCACTTAAGGTGATGAGACTTTACTTGAGTGGAAAGGCTGGCCAGGCTCAGGCTGAGGATGGCTCTGAGGCGTCTGCCGAGGGGCAGTCCGAGACCTCTGCAGAGGACCAGTCCGAGATTTCGGCAGAAGCTTCATCAGAGACTTCGCCTGAGGCCTCACCAGACGAGAAGCAAGCAGCCCCTGCCTCCTGAGCGTTTGATGTCTCTACCACAAGCATGTAACAACGGGCGGAGTCAAGAGACTTGTACAGGAATTACAAAAGGTGGACAGAAACTGTAAGATGGACGATGTTGATCTATAGACCACTAAAAATTATAGAGACTCTGCGTTCTATTGAAACCGACTGCAGTGATTGTGTGGTGGGAGTTTGCCTGGGGCAGATGGGTGACTGAGTACGGATACCTGATGGCCTAAAAGCTCTCATCATTATCAGATGGAATCGTCTGATAACCAAATCTGATTCAATCAGTCAGGACGACCAAATGGCTGCAAAAGCCTTGGGCCACAGGCGTGCTGTTGGATAATGATTGGCGCCACAGCTTGGACGTCATTCCCCGCACGATGCAGTTAAGCTTTAGCGAGCTTTTAGCGCGGGGCACCTAAGGAGTTGCATCCCGCCGCGCAAACCCCTGTGACTCAACCCTCCAAAACTTCTCAGCCTCTCCGATCAGATAACTTCTGGTGACTTGTCCCCTCGGACGCGATCAAAACTACCTGCAGAAAGTCGGAACTCACCTCCTAATCAAATCGAAACCGAAAAATCCACAACCGAGGACGAACCAGAGGTTTTCCATCGACCCTGAGACCAAACAATGGCGACGGAGACACCAAACACCCCCGCGCCGCCGCCGGCCGCCGAGGAGAAGAAGAGTCAACAACCCCAAAAGAAGGGCGATGGCAAAAAGGGCGACGCCAAGAAAGATGCTCCTGCCGATGGAGGAGAGAAGAAGCTATCCGGCGCCGAACTGAAGGCCAAGGCGAAGGCGGAGAAGGCGGCGAGAAGAGCAAAGGCGAAGGAGTCGCAACCGGCACCACCAGCCGGCCAAGGAGCTCAGCAGGGCGGCGATGCGAAGGGAGGGAAATCGAAACAGAGACAAGACGGACCCCAAGGCGTCGGTGGTCCTGGTGGAAAGGGCGGTCCAGCGGGAAAGGCTGTCATCGCCCCTCCCAAGGAGAACAAACCCAAAGTCCCTGAGTGCTTCAGTCATCTGTCTATGGCTAAGAGGATACACATGACGGAAGTTGACAAGGACGTGCACCCCTCCATTCTGGCGCTGGGCCAGCAGATGAGCGCTTTCGCGATCAGTGATAGCACCACGAGATTGGAGGCGACTTTGCTGGCGTTCAAGAAGGTTGGTTTTGTTTGCTCCGAGAAGGTCAAGACTCTCTTTCTCACGTGTGCCAGGTCATCGACTCATACACAACACCTCCGGGCAACACATTCTCCCGCCACTTCACATCACACATTTTGAACCCCCAGATCGAGTATCTCTCGGCATGCAGGCCCATGTGTTTCTCCATGGGTAACGCCGTGCGCTGGCTGAAGCTCCAAGTCAGCAAGATCGATATTGACCTCCCCGACTTCGAGGCCAAGAAGCTCCTTTGCGAATCCGTCGACAACTTCATTCGCGAGCGTATCGAGCTGGCCGACTTTGTCATCGTCAAGACGGCTGCCGACAGCATCGAGAACGGCGAGGTCGTCCTGACCTACGCGCACCACCCGCTCGTCGAGCGCGCCCTCCGTCAAGCTCACGCCGACGGCAAGAAGTTCTCCGTCACTGTCGTCGACGACCCATTTGAGAGCACCGGCCGCGAGCTCGCTAAGAGCCTGCGCGCCCTTCCCGGAGGCGGTGTCGAGGTCTCATACTGCCCGGACCTGAGCGCCATGCGAGCCCACCTGCACGAGACATCGCGTGTGTTGGTCGGCGCGGAGGCCATGTTCAGCAACGGTGCCATGTACGCTCGCGCGGGAACGAGCGACATCGCTATTGCGGCTGCAGACCAGGGTATCCGAGTGGTTGCGCTGTCGGAGACCATCAATTTCACTGAGAGAGTCGCAATGGACTCCCTGACGTTCAACGAGATCGACCCTGAGCAGATGACTGCGGACAGCTTCCGTCTGCTCTTCGACACCACTCGGGATCGTCACATATCTGTTGTTATTACGGAGTTGGGCATTACCTCGCCTGTGTCTGTGCCGGCGATTCTGAGGAAGTTGGAGGAGTTGTAAGAAAGAATAAGGTGGTAGATTGTGTGAGGCAGCGACGTATGTCCCCGAAGGGACACACCGGGTTTTGGGCGCTCCTAGTCCTTGGTTTCTCCCGTAAATAGATACCAATCCATGCGGACTCAGAAAGAGACGCATCATAGACATTAGCTTAGCAAATGCTCATCGCGATTTGAAGAGATCATATCTGGCAGTGAGACGTTGGTGACTTTTACGGCGTCAATTAAGCCTCTCTCAACGCAATATCTACACAGGGAATCCGCTCTCTTTAAGAGAATATCCCATACGGCATCGTCCTAAAAACTTCCAAGGACGCCCCGTGGCACAGTTCCCAGCCTTTCCAGCTTGATACAGGTTCTGGTGAATCCTGAGCCGTCATCATGCCTAAGCTTCTCGAGTGTCGTTTCGTCGCTCTCCCCAATCCTCGAGACAGACGACTCCTTCCACCCTATCTTTTTCTTTCTTTTTTTTTCGGTTCAAAATTTCATCATTGTCGGTAGAAACCGGGTCGTTTCATTGATCAGCCTCCTTGCGCGCCGCTGCCCTTGCGCGCTTCTCGAGCAGAATCGACTTGCGCTCGTTGAGGAAGGCCGTCTGCCTGTCGTCGACGCCCTGGAGCCAGTAGCCGAAGCTGCCACCGCCGACCATGTAGATAGGGTAGACCCAGAGGGACTCCTTGTTGAAGAAGGGGCGCATCTCGATGCCCATTTGCCAGAAGCGGACGGCGAAGCCTGTGGTTCATCCGTCAGCAATGCTATCCTCAATACCCATTTTCAGTTCTCTTGAAAAGGTCGATAGCAACTTCGCCGTCCTCAATGGCTCTCGGAAGCCGATCGGGGTGTGACGGAACGCAGGGAAAGGGCATCACGCACCGAAGCCGCTCCAGAAGGCGATCCTGCCGACCATTGTCGTTGGAGTTGTGAAGGGGTCCGGGAAGGGTTCGGGAGGTGGTCAATTGACGGAAGGGCCGGTTCCGCCGATCGTTAGATAGCTGGTATCTCGGGTTTGGTGGAGCGTCGGGTTCGATTCAATTGACTGAGGTGGTGATGGCAGCTTGGATGAGTGGTCTGTGGTCCGCGTCCCCGGCCGGGCGGGCTGCCCGCTAGGGTCGGCGGAATAATTGCAAATCGAGTTTTTCCGATTCGATCGCTGGGCGAGCACTGGACTGGGGATGTTTCCAGCGCTGTAGACCCTCCCCTGGATGTCAAGACTTTCTTTCGTACCTACCTACCTCCCTAAGGACAGGAAAAAAATTTACCTCACAGGAAATTTTTATAACAAATCATTCGCCTGATTTTGATATAGTATTTTCGGACATTGTCTATAGCCCAAAAGGGCGTCTCCCTACGCACGCCTCACGACCTGAAGAAGTACAGTGAAGCTTCTTAGTCATTAAGATCAGCTCCAGTATTCAGCATCCGATATGGTGTAGTGGCCAACATGATGCCCTCTCATGAACTTGAGAGGTTAGGCATAGCCCCGAGTTCGATTCTCGGTTTCGGAACTTTTCTTTTGCTTTTTCCACCTGTCCTCCCAAATCGCTTTATTTGTATCTCTCTCCCACCCCGTTTTTTCTCACTGAGCCTCCGTCCGCTACCTTGTAATTTTTTTTTTCTCTTTGCAACAACTAGATGGATTCTTGGCACGCTGACAACGTGGGTAAATTAAACGACGGGTATCACTTTTTTTTTTTCCAACCCCCTGAGCAGATTGCTCACATAATACGTAAACATCTATACATACACTTCTACAATGCGCCGCCAACAGCCTGTGCGATCCACATTGCTATCCTGACGTTGAGACCGACGCGGCGTTCAGGCTTAGAGAAGTCCTCGCGTGTGACGCGCTCAGCGTATTCTTGAAGCCATGTTTGCTCTTCCCCCAGACGCTTCTTGAGGTTTTCGTCCTTGGTGAGGATCATGGCCCCCGCTTCCAAGTCATGAGAATAGCTGCGTTTTGTGTAGTTGGAGCTTCCCACGACGCTGATGGACGGGTCTTTCTCCCCTGGCAACGTAATCCAGAGGCCCTTGGCGTGATAGGTCCAGCCTTCGGGCTCACCAACGGTACCTTTGCGCCATTCCTTGAGAACAATGGAGTCGTCCAGCTTGCGCTCGTGGACAGCGCGTACGAAGCGGCGAGCAAGAAGGGTATATGCGCCAGGCAAAAGCCCAGAGACGCCCGAGGAGCCGTAAAAGCCATTAGCCTGCTGGGAGGCTGTAATGACGATGTTATTTTGAGACGCTGTGGAAAGCAGCAGTTTGGTTAATGACGGTGCAGGGTTGAAGTAGCCTGCAGTAAAAGTCCAAGATGAACCTGCGTATTCAGGCAGGGCAAGTGTTGATAGGACGTGTGTGACAGCGGGAAGCTCGGTAGATGTGTCGGGTTTCATCAACTGCGACAGTTGAGCGAGCATATACACTTTAGTGTCTTTGCTCGCATCCTGCGCGGCGGTCTGCCTGGGAGAAATAAGGGCATGGAGAGCGGGAGTGGTTGTGCTGATGAACTGCTTCGGCTCTTCCAGAGGGGAGGGCGCCGGGTTGGACTTTGGCCAAGTCAAGACAAACCCAGCAGGCTCCTTTGAGGGCTCGACGAGGAAGCTGAACCCAGCTACTCCTTGGTAAATATTCCAGAAGTATTCGGTCACCTCTTTTGAGGAAAATAGATGGTAGCGATCTTGACGGTTAGTGAAGTAGTCGTTAGAAAGATTCGCCCTTAACTCTGTTAGCTATCATCTGGAACTGGGAAGGGACATTCATACCCAGAAAGAATGATTTCATCGTCGATGCCATACAGCTTCATATGCTGCAGGCCCCATCCTTCGTTGATGCGCTTTGGGATGTACTTCTTTCTCACTCCGGTCAAGTTGGGGGTGTGGTACATCCGAATCTCAACTCTGTCTGGGCCAAATTCGGTGACCAAAGGCGCAAGCAGGGAGGCACATGATGGATTCGGCTCCTCTCGAGTGCCTCGGAGCGCATCCGTAAGGACGCTCACCTTAAGCTCTGGATTGTTCCGCAGAGCTTCATGCAAAGTCGCAATCTTAAGCTTCATCAGCTGTCGTTCCAGGCCGCACTGTGCACTCAGTGTATCTCACCAGCTCCTTCTCCGTCTTTCCGATATACAGGGTTGACAAGAAGATCCTGCTCTTCGCGCTGCGTATCCGCTCCTATCGCCGAATCAGTCTTCCGCTCCGAGCTCGAAATAGTTCTCTGCGCCGCACACCTTCAGAGTTTCGTAGAAATCGGTAGGTGTCTTGATGATTCGGATCTGGGAGCCATTTATGCTGAAAGACGGCGCGATCTTGTCAAGCTCATTCGCAAAGGGCGCAAGCATGCCTGCTGCACTACCGGAGCTCGAGGCCGCTGGGGCACCGGCGGCGGGCATCGCAAATCGTCGGCATTGCGGTCGGGACCGGGTGACATTCGTTTGGGCGAAAGGGATCTTGAGCTTCGTGGAGCACCGCGAAACCCCGCGGACAATCATGGCGCTTTGATGGACCGAAAAACACTTATTTTTCCTTCGCCACAAGGTTGCGCATTCAAGAAAGAGTTCATCTAAAGAATGCGAACTTCGAGACCCCAAAGACCAGGATTAGTGCATGAAGCTCCGTCATTGGCGGCGGGATTCACCGGCTCCAGCGAGGGAGCCTCTGTCCAATCGCTATTCAGGTTATGTAATCCAAGCTCCACAGCGGTACCTGCGTCGTTCAACCTTCCCGAACGTCGAGCCTTCAATCATCGCCGACGACAGCACAGCTTCTCGAGGTCAATTGACCAGCCGCCGCCATGTCGACCCTCCCGAGAACGATTAGCAACCTGCGCAAGGTTGGAATCAAGGCATGCAACAACCTCCTGCCCCGATCGTGAAGCCGCCACTGACTTTCTCTTGCAGGAATACTTCCGCCAGCTCCTGGTACATCCGCCTCCGAACCCCGATCGCCAGTTGACCCCTCTGACACTCGAGAAATAGTACATTGGTGACACCAAGCACGGACGTTTTGTCGGCGAGGACAAGGCCGGCAACAAGTTCTACGAGAACAACGACGAACTCCCCCGTACGAGACCCCTCCGATATTGCGCAATGGGTAGGATGAAGGCTGACGAAGGGACTGGGTAGTGCGTACACGATGGGTGGACTTTAAGAAGCACGATTACGACTCGGCGCAGGTTGAGCCTGGCTGGCACGCGTGGCAAGGCTTCATGGTCGACAAGCCCCCCACGGAGGATCCTCTCCTCCAGACCAAGACCCGCAAGTGGGAGCGCCCGGAGCCGATTCCCAACCTGACTGCCACTAGAGGAGCATTCAAGACGTTTAACACGTGAGTTTGTCACATTTTCTTCGCGTCTGGATGTGGCGGGGTGCTGATAATTTCTCCGCAGAACGAAGCCAAAGATCGCGAGCTGGGAGCCCAAGGCTGTTGAGAGGCAATGAGCGCTGAAAGTATGGGATGAATGTACATATGCCAACATCGCTCGACGCACTTGCAGACTTTTTTTTACCTTTGTGATCACAGCACTTGCTTGTAGTGTTGCTTGGCGTCCGCCGTTCGACGGCTTGGTCAGGTACCGTCAGTGGTTGCTCAAGCACCAAATGAGTGATGATAGCAACGGGATTGGTACTATTGGGAACACATCGTTCTGATGATGAGCTTCTCGAGATTAGGTTCGCCTCCGACCGGGGCGCCCGGTGCTATTGACACATATTGCTGATAACGGGTATTCCTACCTGCATCGTCGATGTTGCCCAAGGATCCTACAAGAATCAAGTTTCAAGGACAACTCAGCAGCTGCTTAACGAAATCTTCCGTCGCCAGGTTTGAACTCATATCAGAACCCTCGTTTCCATCAACAGAACTCCCTTATGTGAGATGACTATCACTGGGTAATTGTGTTTCTATTGGCTGGGTCGTCTGGTAGAACGAACGAAGATTTCAGGAGATAGGATATGAAAATACTGCGGATACGTTTGCCACCGGCGGCATTCTCAAGCCTTGGAGTACATGCCATCCATGACCGTTTTGATCTGTTGCGACCCTGAAGACACCTACAGAACGCTTCAAGACCTACTTGCTACTGGGTCTGCTAATTCTGCTTGGTTTTCAAAGAGGGTCATCATAACGCAAATTGTCAGGGTTGGATTATTCATTGGAGGCAGCAGAAGGCTGCGGTGACACCTGTTAACTACCATTCAGCAAAACCTACTCTAATCAAAGTCACCGCCCTCATCTATCCCACACACTACGAAAAGCACCTCTTACTCTGGCTTCCTCCCGTAGATAGCGTAACTTAGGAGTGTTAGCCAGTGGAATCATTAGGGCAGAAAAGTACTACAGGGATCGAGGGTAGCTTACATCGGCACGTATGCATGCATGCTCTTGTCTTTCAGTCCGTTCCGGACATCGACCAGGAAGGCCTGCACTTCCTCTTTCTTCCAGTTCAGCGCTCTGGTATAGGCAGCCATGGTCCAACCTTCAATTCCTTCAAGATTATTGTGGAGTGACCAAGTGCCGATGAGTTTATGCTTCGGGTCTTTGGGCCACGAATTCATAGGCCACTTGTACTTGGTCATAACGATATCGACAAAGCCAACCTCCTTCATGACGTCGACCAAAGACGGAATGCTCTGAAACGGCCGGCCCAGAATTGCACATGCCTCTCTCAAAAGCTTACCGCTTTTTACAACGGCGGAGTCAGGTCTCAGCGTGTTATCGTGTGACTGAAGCTGGCCACCAACCTCCAAAAGCTCGAAGTATCCTCCGGGCGTCAGATTACTGAAGGACACTGTAAGCATCTTGACATTGTGGTATAGTGTGGAATCCGAGTGGCTTACTCGAAGGAGTTTTGGGTGTATTTCTGCCAATTCGAAATGCTCGATGTCATGAATCGACTATGGATGTAGTCAAAGGGCTGGGTGTACGTCCATGGTTCTTCAACATCATCGACCTCGAATCCTACGTTCGGTGGAGCTCTGCGAAAGTTTCAGGCAATGTTCATGAGGATTTCCTGCGAAATAAACTTACTCAGCCGCTGGGGGAGAAAGGTCAACGCCAAGAACCTGTGTAAGGATGCGCTTAAGGTGAAACCGATTCTCAATTTACCTCTGCATTGGGGTGGACATCTCCGAAGTCGATGGCCCACAGCCCAGTGCCGGTGCCTAGGTCAAGCACACGGTTGACCTTGGAGTTCTCGTCGTTTGGCGGTGCCAGACCAAGCTTCCGGTCCAGAGTGAGGAGACATAGTTCATGTTGGAGGTCTATCTCAGTGAATTGTTAGCCAAATGACGAAATACATAACATCATCGTCGCATAGGGGCACGTTAGAATCCCACCTAGTCTCTCGGTCTCCTTCTCGTCATTCGGATATTGATATTCTGCCACCTCTGAACTTCAAACACTACATCAATCACAAGCTCGGCTGACCTACGTCCTTCCTTGTACCGATGGTAAGTTCGACCATTCTCAAGTTGGAAGTTCCAAATGGAGCTAGCAATACTACTGGTAGTCTGCTGGGAAGAAGCAATACTCTACGTGAAATGTCATTCAACAGCTCGAATTCGTCAAATGCAGTAGGGCTGACTTACACCACCAAGCTCTGATGAGTCGTCATCGGCGACCTGTGGAAGTTAAGCGCTGCTGATGGAATACGGTAGCAATTCGTTGCCTGCAGATAATATTTACCTCAGCATCATCGACTATAAGTTGAGTCTCGTCAACATGACGAATATCGGTATGTTCACGTCCTGCGGGAGTCACAATGTTGGGCGCGGACATTTTGACGTAGCGATATGCTGCTTGCTTTCGATGAGCTTGGCGTTCAATCGAGGATAGCGAAGTCGGATAAAAAAAAACGCGATCAATTTGTTCTTTTTATCGGTCTAGTTGATGCAGACTCATCTACCCCTCTTCTTAGATGACTTTCATGCACGCCAGAGGCAACAATGCACTTTGCCGCAAAATGCAACGATTTATTGCAGCTTCCCAAGAAGAACACCAAGTCCGACGTGTATCCGGATAGAATTGGACCCTAACCCGACGAACTTCTTTTATGACAAGCTCATAGTTAATTTCATTGGCTCGCTGAACGAGGCGCGCTTAGCCGAGCTCGGGGAAACGATCCGTTGCGTGGGTTCGAGAAATGCTGTTGGATCTACATCCGTATTGAGATTGTTCGGGCACCAACAGAGATTGTACGATAGTAACCCGCTTTGCCGTAGCAAGCTGACGTCGCCTGTGCCGAAAGTAAAGAGACGCAAAGATACGCATGAGCAACGGTTCCCATGTCAGTTTGCTATACTTAATGGCACAATGGCGTGCGTTGAAGATCAAACGGAGAGCTCGGGAGATAGGGCGAAGAAGGTAATAGGTGTTGTATGTTACTCCAGCTGACTTTCTCACACAGGTGAGTACAAGTCATCTTTCCAGCCTCTCCTCTTTCGAAACCTGCCCACCTACTGCAGTACTTGCCATCTCCACTTGTTACACAACAAAGGAACTTGTATGGCATATCTCAAAACTAATTCGTTTACAAATCAATGCGGAGTTGGCCTAGCCCTCATCTGATGGTAATCATAGCGCATCGGCGATGTTAAGAGCTCATGCCGATATTTATACCCTTCCTTCAGAACCCGTTTCCATCGAAGTTTTCGCCGTTATCTTGTGTACTGCATGAGATGTCCTTCTTTACTACGGCTTTCTTCCATGAATGACATAACTTTGAAATGTCAGTAAGCAACTCGGCTGAAGCAGGGGCATTGTAGAAGACAGGGGAAAATACTCACATAGGCCACCATGCATGGATGGTCGTATCCTTGAGCTCCCTTCGCACGTCCACGAGGAACACCTGTACTTCCTCTTTCTTCCACCCAAGAGCCCTAGTGAAGGGCGCTATGGTCCAGCCTTCAATCCCATCTATACTGTTCTGATGTGCCCACATACCCAGCGTCTTGTAGTGCGGGTCTTTAGGCCAGGTGTTTGACGGCCACTTCTCCTTCATGATTGAGACGTCGACAAAGCCAACTTCGCGCATTACGTCGACGAGTGCCGGTATGTCTTGGAAAGGTCGCCCGAGGATCTTGCAAGCCTCTTCCATGTACGTCACGCTCTTGATCATTGCCGCATCTGGCTTGAGGGTCCCGTCGTCACATCCGGGGAAGAGGTCAGTCTCTTGGAGCTCCAGGTATCCGCCGGGCTCGAGGTTGCTGCGTAGCTTCGTAAGCAGATACTTTCACACAGGTCACATCTAACGACGTACTCGAAACAGTTCTGGATGTAGGTCTTCCAGTTGGCGACACTCGACGTCATCATCCGGCTATGAATGTAGTCAAACGGTCGACTGTATGTCCAAGGCTCATCGATGTCGTCAATCTCGAAAGAAACGTTAGGAGGCGCGCTGAAGTTGTTAACGACATGCCATCAAAGAAGTTCCAATGAAGGGCTGCAAAATACTCTGCCTGGGGAGGGGAGAGGTCCACGCCAATGACCTGAACGATGACGTATCAATAAACAGGCAGGTTCTTTTTCACTGGGTGAGGATCATCGAGCTTAGCATACCTCAGCTTCAGGATGCAAGTCGCCAAAATCAATAGCCCAAAGTCCAGTCCCAGTTCCAACATCGAGGACGCGTTTGACCTTCGAACCCTCGTCGTTGGGCGGTGCCAGTCCCAGCCTGTCGTTCAGAGACAGGAAAAACAGCTCATGCTGCAAGTCTATAAAAGCTGTGAGTAAATATAACGAAGTCCATATGGAATATGATTCCAAGCTAAAAAGGACGAAAGCGAGAAACCGGGGCGACAGTACCGAGTCGTTCTGTTTCCCTATCATCATTGGGATAGTTGTATTCTTATCTTTGTTAGAACGTCGCACGAAATCCGGTCTTTGGAGCGGAGGACTCACTTCCGTCCTTGTATTTATGGTATGTTCGCCCATTCTCTAACCTGTATGCAAAGATGGACTCAGTAACACTTGTAGTCGAAGAAGCGATGCTCTGTAATACACTGTAAGTCCAACCGCAAAACTTCGACTATCCTCGCATAACATACGGCGCCGAGATCCGAAGCTGCGTCGTCGGTGGCCTAGAGATAGGTTTGTCAGATCAATCATCTTGATCGTGGTCTGCATGGTGAATCCATACCTCATCAGCAACAAGGCGAGTATCTCCAGCAGCTCGGTTGTTGGACTGCACATTCGGCACAGGAGCCGATGTTTCGGTGGCTGCAGACATTATGGACGAATCAAGATTGCTTCAAGCGTACAGGCTTTCCCAATGTTCTATCAAGAAGGCGGAGTACAGAATAATGCGAGCGAGCGAATGCTGTCTATTTATTCTACGAACGCGGCGCAGTCTATACCCCTCTCCTTGGCCGAAAAGACACCCGTCTGTGTATGCAAGCTGGCGGCGAGTGTGGAAGACGTCGCGTTCTTGGACCCCAACTTCCTGAAGAAAGCAAAGGCCCGGCGATGTGTGGACTGAATCGGGCCATGATCCGAGGAAGGTCACCTGTTGCAGATTGTTGGCGGGCGCCATTGGCTAGAAACACCATGGGTCTGCGTAACCGAGACTGGCAACGCGCTCTGCTGCATATCCTAATCTCGCTGGAACCATTGACCAGCCAGCCTTGTCAGGTCAGAGAACACTGAGTCCGAATTGAGTCCTTACGGACCATACGGACCGCTATGGGTCCGGCAGACGAACGGGGCCGGGTGCCGGTTTAGGGATATCCGGTCAAGGCCGAAATGTTAAGAGCAGAGCCACGATGGCCTACCTTGTGGAAGTTTACTTGGTTCTCCAACGCACACACACTTTGCTGGTTGTGTGAGGCGTAAGCACCTTGTCTGCACAAGAGCTCAGTAGGGTTCCAAATTCCACAACTTACACTAAGTTGCAAGCATAGAAAAGGTGTGAAAACGAGAATTATACCTCTCTGGCACAATATGCTACCTTACTAAAAAGACTTCTCTTCTTTCGCTTTACGGTCTGAAAGTTTTCCTCCTCACCATCCAGCTTGACAGAACCAATACTGCCTGTCAGCTTGATACACCCTCTTCAACTAGAAAGAAGCTCCTCAGTACACACGCTTCAAAGTCATGGCCCGAATTGTTTCTCCCAAAGCCATCTATATCTCCCACGACGGCCGAGTCGTCGATCTAAGTGAGATCCCAGAGGGTGCAGGCCAGACGGCGGACGCTCCCAAGACCGAAGAAGAGTTTGTCATGATTGGTGATTTCTTTGACAACCACACTTCATCCACCAAGACTTCAAGCCCCACCATCCATGAAGTTGAGGAAGACGACCAGCAGGAGAAGGCCACCGAAGACAGCGACAACGACAGCGATAGCGATGAGACCATCGATGCCACCACTACCCTCGCCCACAACCCCTGGTCATCCTTCAACCACGGCACCCGATGGGCGACCCCAAACTTCCAACCGGCAGCACCCAGCTGGGCAACCGTCATCTCTCGAGCCGTCTACATCCTGCTGTCTCCCTCGAAGTGGCGGACCATGTTTAACCACCTTCATCGTTTGGGTGATAATATCAGCATGTTTGACAGGGAGTGGCAGCACGAGGTGCTTAGAAACAACGTTCCTGAGCCCAGCCAGGAGCAGGTGTTCCTCCGGGGCGTCTATGAGCACGCTCGCACGGTTCTAGACGCACAGGTCTCAAGCAAGCCAAACGCGCAGGTTCTGAAGATCTTGTGGGCACAGCGGTATTCCAAGAGGTCGTTTGAGAATATCGCGGCGAAGGAACTTTTATACAGAATGTGGAACACATGCGACGGTGCTTACACAAATCGCAAGAAGCGGGATCAGAGATCATTTGCTGCTCCTGTGTACCGGGTTGAACGAGCGAGCCGAGACGTCTAACAACAAAACTAAAAGCTTCTTAGTCAAATTTTGTGTTGAGAAAGTTTCACGGCCCATCTATCAAGAGGGTACGCAGTAGGATAAACATAGTAACAGCACCTCATCCAGTGCTTCGTCTAGTGAGGGGATCGCAGTGTAGTCAATCAAGTATTATCCCGAGAATCTGATGGCGTGGTGGCATATTTGCCGTTGTGAAGAGTCTTATTTTCTGCTTTCAGCGTAATCGTGCCATCATGTAGACTTTGGTTTCTCCTCAGCCAACTCAGCGAAACCCTTTTCCTGGAGTTCCAAAGAGCTGATATCAGGCACAAGTGGTGTCTCTGCTCCTTCCTGTGCCGCCAACTTGGCTTCACCGGCGGCCACCCCCACCTCGGCACCAGCATCGGAGCTACCGTCGCTGAAGTTCTGCCACGTGGACGGGTTGATCTTGCTAGGATTCGCCTCACCCTTGAAATGGTACCCCCTCGCTCTCGGCCTGGTGCCGGTTCCTTGCGGCAGCTCCGCCTCGTACGTGGCCACAAACTTTTCCGATACCTCCTCAAACTTATCGGAGCCCACCTGCAGCGCCGCCCGGATGCCGGCAAAGAAGTTTGTCAGTACCTGGTGGTTGTGGATCTGCAAAAGAGTCCAGCCGAGCATTTCCTTTGCGTTCAAGAGGTGGTGGACGAAAGCTCTGTGATGCGTCGTGCAGGCGTAGCACTGGCAGCCCTCCATCAGGGGTTCGAGCGCCGTTTCGTGGTCTGGTTGCCACATATCGATACCGAGAGGTTGGATGCCACCATCTGTCGGGGGGAAAGTGAAGGTGAGCGCCACACCGGCGTCGGAGATGGTGTTGAGGAATGGGACCGTCAGAATGTCTACTCCAAGAGAGACCTGACGGAGGATAGCTTGCGGTGTTTCGGGAATGTGCAAGGACAACCGAGGGAGGTGGACCAAAGGCTTGTAGTTCTCCTCGATATCAGGCAACAGGTCAATGTCATATATGGCCAGTCCTGAGAGCGAGTCGACAATGTCGTCTGCCAGATGGCTAAGGTGCTCCCATTGGATTTGGTACGGGACGGCGAGAACCGGCGCAAAGACCGAAACATCACGCTCCTTGAGCCTCTCCTGCCTCTTGGGACCCAGAAAGACGTCGGTCCACTCCTCAGTCCGTTCGGCCATGCGCACAAGCTTCTTAGACGGTGGCATGCTGCTCGTGTGGAATAGATCAGCGGGCCCGATGACGATATCGGGCCTGAGTGTCTCGACAGCGGCGGAATAATCATCAATAGTGAGGTTCTGGAAGCCGGTCGAGGTGAAGATGGAGATGGTCTTGTTCCTGTTCCCTACTGGCGTTTTAATGGCCGGGTTTCGCCTTGGAGCTAGGACAGTTGCGATACTATCTGGCAAGCAGGTGAAGGCGTGCAACGGTCTCTGGTCCCCTGAAGGTATTGACAGTGCGGAAGGTTTCTTCTTCTCGATGACTGTGATCAGTTAGCTTTGCGGTACATGCAGGATATCGACGATAGACTTGCAGTCTTCGAGTGCCATGTAGGTTGCTCCAAAGGATGTGTGCTTTGCGAGGTTGTCGGGGGTGATGTGAGGGACAACACCTCGTGAGCCCGTCGCAATGTAGTTGGGCGTCTCGATGGGCCTTCGTTTGGGGAGCACTAGCCTTCCCAGACGAGCTGCCGCCGCACCGTCGGCGGACTTCTTTAAAATATCGAAAATCATGTCGTCCTGTTTCCTCGCCCCGTTCCAGGTTGTAGCATCAGACATTTTGGCACATCACCAACTCCGATTTGCCAATGAGTCAACCTCGGAAGCTCAACGGCACTAGATCTTTAAAGTCTTTGCTGAGACCTCGGAGCGTTTCTACCGTAACCAATGAATTTTTCAAGGGTTTCGTTCCTCCGCGCCCAGATTTTGTGGACTACTTGCCAATATTCGTCGTTTCGCTAAATCGTCAGTTGTGGTGTTTCTAGTGCAATGAGTGAGAGAAAACAGACATGGCAGCCACACATGGAATGGAGTTCAAGCCACACGAGCTATCAGGGACGAGGCTTGGTCGATGTGGCTGGAGCTTCCCTGGTCAAGATGGCAGCCGGGGTTTGGGGAAAAAGCTCGGGCGGATCCGAGTGAGGAGCTGCTGCAGGGGCAAAGCAACTCGGGCCATGGCAGACTCAACCAATCATGACACTTGACTCTTGTTACTACGATTCACTCACGGCAGGGGGTTTCTTAGACTTTACGGGGATTTTGAACTGGGTCTAGTTCCCTTGCTGCTTTATCCATCTTTGATGTCATATAAGTTGCTCAGACCTAACGGCTCGGCCGGCTTGCACAATCCGGGGCCTTTTGAACGCCTTGACAAATAAGACGATCCTAAGAGAACAGTGCATCTGAACGCAATTCTTGGCAAAGCCCGAAGATTTAGATGCCTTATTCCACTTTCCAGCTATAATCATCTTGATTACTATATCTTCAAAATGAATCAAACTAAAGGCAATTGAAGTTTTATCTCAACCCCAAAAACTTCGTTGTAAATGTCCATACATATACCTCTTCCTTTGGGCAACATCTCAAATGGGCTCATCCCTAGGCTCAATAAGTACCTCGTTGACAGCAACATGCTCTGGTTGGCAGACCGCATAGACAATTGACGACGCAACATCCTCGGCATTCAAGACCTTGGCGCCCGAAGGCTCGCCGAACTTCTTAAGGGCCTCGGCGTCCGTAGACATACTGAGCAGATCCGTAGCCACATTTCCGGGCTGGATCGAAGTCACCCGCAGACCTGTGCCTGCGGTCTCCAGACGCAGACTCTGCAGGGTGGCTTCGACAAAGAACTTGCTAGCAGAGTAGACACCGAGACCCGGGAACACCTTGCGGCCAGCGTCTGACGAAATGGCGACAATATGGCCCTTTCCACGACCGAGCATGCCGGGCACAGTAGATGACAGGCAGTGCAAGAGACCTTTGCAGTTGACGTCGACCGTACGCTCCCACTCTTCGGTGTGGTTGTTGGCCATCATGGTGAAGTACATGACACCGGCGCAGCTGACGAGAATGTCAACCGGTCCAAGCTTCTCGGTCGCCGTCTGCATGAGCGACCCGACGTCTTCCCTCTTCGTGACGTCTGTCTTGTGAATGAGAACCTTGCCTCCAGTGCCGGCAAGCTTGGCCTTGACACCTTCCAAGGCCTCGGTGCGCCTTGCCGCGAGAGCGACGTGGGCGCCCTCCTTGGCGAGACCAGCTGCGACGGCTGCTCCGATGCCAGATGAAGCACCAGTGACTACGGCAACCTTGCCAGCAAGGCGGCCCACGTTAACTCTGGATGCCGCGCCGTTGACGTTGGCCCGACGCGGCGGTCTTGAAAGCCATCCTCTAGCGTAGAAGTGACGAGTGTAAGTCTCAAGCAGATGGCTATCGATCTTAGGACGATCCAGCTTGTACTTTGCCAGGACAGGCGCAGTGGCATCGTCCTTGAGGACAGTGACGGCCTGCAGAGTCTCGGCAGTGGGCATACCACCGCGAAGAATGTCAACGGTGAAAGGCACGTCACCAGCAGCTTTGGTGCCGAATCCTCTCTTCTTGGTCCAGAGCTCGACCCAGTCGTCCCATGGAATCTTGGTTGTTGTGTACCCAAGCTCCCGTAGGCTGTCGAAGATGTAGCTGGCCGAAATTGGGGCGGGATCGCCAAGGTGATAGACCAATTGGTTGGGGTCGGTATGATTGGCGAGTGTTGTAATAGCAGCGCTCACATAGTCGACAGGGGTCATCTCTGCGAACCAGTTGTCGATGCCTGGTGCAGTCTTGAGCTGCAGAGACTCGACAATCAAGGCATTGAGCAAGTCCCAGGCGTTGGTAGACCCTGTCTTGCTATGGCCACTGATTGTACCTGGGCGGTAGACTTTACAAGGCATGCCGCGGCGAGCAGCCTCGTAGACCAGCTTTTCGGCTACCCACTTCGTCTGTCCATAACCATCGATGAGCTTCTCGGGGACATCGTCAATGTCGACCATGGCGTCTTCGGACCATCCGGCCACAGACGGTGTCAAGACACCGTTTGTGGAGATGTGGTGCAGGGTGGCACCGCTCTTAGATGCGATACGCAAGATTTCCCTGGTGCCTCCAACGTTGGGGCTTCTCAAAGCAGCGTAGGGGTAAACCAAGTTGACAGTTGCAGCAGCGTGGATGATGACCTCAATTCGGGAGACGAGCTCGTCGTAGACGTCGGGTGCAAGACCGAGATGCTCTCGAGACAGATTGCCGGGCAGAATCTCCATTCTGTCAAGCATAGAGTCGTCCCAGATACCCAGATCGATGAGGTTCTTGCGGACTCTGGCCATACCTGCAGGCGCAGACTCCTCTGTCGGATCCGTGAATCGGACTAGGCAGATGATGTGCGCGGCGGTAGTCTCGATGAGTTGCTTGAGAAGGAAGGCTCCGAGGTAGCCGGTAGCGCCGGTAAGGAGCACCGTGTCGGCATCATTCAACTTGCGCATAGGAGTGCCGTTGGACTTGATGTCCTTGGGAAGCTCACAGTCAGCCCGGAGAACGGCGGGAAGATCAGACTGAACTGCGGCAGTGTGACCATCGCGAGCATCACGAATTGCCTTCAGGTGACCCTCCAGAGTCGGGTTACCCGCAAGAGGAGCCAATGGAACAGGGAATCCGAACTCCTTGGTGAATCGATTCGCGAGGTCCGCCAGCACAAGAGAGTGGCCGCCGATATCGAAGAAGTTGTGCTCTTCCGTGATGGCAGTTGCGGGCATGTTGAGGGAAGTAGCCCAAAGCTTCTTGACGGTCTCCATCTTGACCTTGGTATTTTGCTCCTTGTCTCCGTTGACGGCAACCTTGGGGGTTGGGGGTGGAGGCAAAGCCTTGAGGTCGACCTTGCCGGAGACTCCGTGGGTGGGAAGCTGCTCCAACTCAACCCAGAAAGTGGGGATCATGTACAGAGCCAAGTGCTCTGAGAGGATGCGCCTCGCGCCTGGGCTGTATCCAGACTCGTCGAT